AGAAACACATTTTCTCAGCTGTTCTGGTTTCAGTGAAGAGGAATTTGGAATTTTCCCTAAACCCCTTCCATCCGCTTCCCTCCCCTTCACTGCTCCCCGCTGCCTCCGGGAAGTGGAGTAATTTATCAGGGCAGGAATTTAATAATACATTTGGCATGCTCAGCTCAGTTCCACCCTCCATCGTGCTTGGGAGAGAGGCCTCTGCCCTCGATCCATTGGTCCTACCTGGCAGGCCCCACAGCCGGGAGACCTGCCTAGCTCCTGCATGGCAAATAGGGTGGGTCAGTGAGCAGGACTAATTATCCCGCATAAAGTACAACCTCTAACTTTCACAGTATTTTGGGTTTCCATCTGTCAATCTTTATCTTCCTTCCCAAGACCCCAACAGTGTCCAACAAACCAATTAATAACCTAATTAACAGAAACATCCTGGCAAGTGTCCACACACCTTCCTGTCTGGACACCAAGACAGTTAGATGCCAGGTTTGAAGAAATATACCTGCTAAGAAAGTAGTTGAGGTTAAGACAAGAAAATGTCCTTGATACCACATTAAGTGAAAAGAGTAACAAAAAATTCTATATTTTAAACATTGCATTAAGTGTCCAGCTAAGTCAATTTTATGCATATTCATGAATATTTTTATTGATGTTCATGAGATTTTTTTCACATTTTAGTTGTTCTCTCCCTACTGAAATATGTCACATCATATTTTCAAACCAACAGGTGTTCTAAGCAAAGACCTCCTGCCTAGCATACAACCACAGCAACTTTTCTACAAAATATATTGCTTGTCTCTATAATTACTTGAATTTAGATTATTAAATGGAACCTCAGAAGTGAGGTGAAAATTTTATTTAGCCCTTGAGCCAATTCAGGGAAAAATAAATGCGTTTGTCTGTTTTATCTAGTCACCACAGAGGGAGTGCACCTGCTGGTCGTTCTTCCTCGTCTGTGTGTCTCTCACGTCGCCCCAAGCTTTGTCCCGTGCTTTGAAACCATGGTCAAAGTCCCACTTCCTTAGTGGCAGCCACTGTCGTGGACTCCGACCCCTATTGGACAGAAGTCGGTCTGGGATTGCACAAACCTTCGAGGGCCTCCTCAATTCAAGCACAAGGGGGTCCGTGAGAACGCTCCAGTTTGACTTTGATATTTTGGTTTCATATTCCTGTGATTAGATTGATATCTGTATCAAGAAGCTGGGAGAATCACATATACTTCATGGAGGGCGGACTGCTCAAGGTATTACATTGAAATGAACAGAAAACTCATTTTCTGAAGGAAAATTTTGTGTTACTAGCCAGCCACTTAAATGTTTCTATCAAGGTCTAAATTTATTAATAATTTTACGTTTTTAGCCTGTATTCTGTCCACAGGCTAGTTGGAAGTGTTAAATCTCTTTTACTTCTTGAATCCCCGTGCGTAGGAGTGTGTGTGTGTGTAAGGAATAGGTGTGAATTGGGCACGCTCTAATTCACACTTACCTTAAACGCCTATATCAGAGCCTTCTCAGCCTGCTCCTCCACCCACCTGGGCATCTAAATCTGCTTTCTCAGGCTTCACTTGAGAATCACGAGAGACTCAGAATTTGCTTTCAAATCACTCTTGTCTTTCGAGTTCCTCAGCAACAACTTGATTCATTTCTTAAAAGCTACTACAGTTCTCTTTTTCTTAAACTTTTCAGGATGTAACTAGGAAGGGCGATAGATCTACAAGTTTGTTTAATAGTCTTCCTCTGGAGCTACTCAAGGATTTTGAAATTGTAACAGAGACCAAGAGGAAATCTTTAACAGGATTTGTTTCAAGGGGAAATGCACAGGATGTGGCAGGACCTTGCATGAAATGGAACAAAAGGAGAAATGAACAAATGGGAGACGTTCTCTGGATTAAGCAGCGAAAGCAGAAATGAGGTGATGAAGTCCTTCCATCGGAGTTCAATGATCTTTAATTTACTTGGACTTTAAGGAGAAAGAGAAAAGCAATTGTCCCTTTGGTTCACCGTGCCAAGATTTTCATTTCTTTCCTTTTGTGATTGCTATTTACTATGAAAAGAGTACTAAAACAGCATTAAAGGAATTCCTAAACATGAAAAGCACTATTTCCCGATACTCTTACACACTGCCTGGTCACTGACGGTCACTTCCCTGAGCCATTCTCTTGCAACCTCAGACCAGATCAGGTGCTCATTTAAAGCTTCTTGCCTTTGTTTTCATAAGTTTAGCCCAGCAGAGCTTAGATATTTTACTCCCGATTGTATGTCCAGCATCTACCGTACTGAGTGACAGAGAGCAGGTACCCAACACATATTTCTGAATAAAAATGATTAAATATTGCTCTTAAGTATTCATCTTTGAAACCCACATGTTTCCTGGTCTCCCCAGTTTGTAAATACGAATGACCATAGTTAAACCATTAAACTGATTTTCATTAGCTCTAAGGCCTCCGCTGCTCACACAGGAGCTCCTGGTTCCTAAAAAGTCCCTCCTAAATATTTAAATTCCCAAGATTGTCCTTGTAGCCGCTGCTTCAAAGGGCAGTTCTTTGCCTTTCATGCCAGCCCCACGTCCTTCATGCCACCTGCAGGGAGGAAAATATGGCTCCTTTCTCCTCCCTCCCTCCCTTGCTCCCCTCTTTGTCCCACAGCAAGACCCCTCAGGCTCTGAAATATTGCAAAGCTTAACAGGCACACAGTGCACTTCCTCCCCATGGTACATATGTTGGCAGATATGAGTCAATCGATGAGCCTCATATGAGTCAATCATCACACAGATTCTAGAGGAAAAGTGGTGTCTTCCTGCCCTGCTTCCTGCTTTTACACCTATGTGTTTAGAAAACCAGTTTACCCAACAGTCACACATGACATGTTGATTTCCTTGTTTTTTCTTATCATTGTGTTTAACCATAAACTGTGGAATTTCCTTTTTCAATCCCTTGTTATCTCTGGAAGATCCTCTAGCTTTCTGGTCCTTACAGATATTAGAATAGCATCATTCAATTCTTCTCATTTTAAGTTCTGCTCTCACATTTTCCCTTTCCCACAGTTCAAGCTTAGTCTTTAGCCTGTGGGACCTGCAGTTCTAAGGAGATGTGGTCTGCCCATTTACTCATCCCATTCCTCTTCCTATGAGCTGTCATGTAGGAAGACAAAATAGAAAAAGTGCCAGGGGTCTGACGTAGCTGGTTGCCTGTTGATAGGAGAACAAAACCCTAAAATCTACTCCTTGGGGCCTCCACCAATGTGGTGGTCTCTGAACACACGTTGTGCTTGATTTCTTAGGGCACTCTTCATTTTCCCCTTGACCTCCTGCTTTACTGAGGAACTCTTCAGACAGGGTGCACCACATCTCCCTTTTGGCTGCACCAGAATCTATGCCTGCAAACCCCTCTCTGCCTGGCTGGCAGCTGCCTGAAGAGCTCCGTGCCTTCTGCCTCTTCCTCTAACGTTAAAGTGCCTTCTTGTAGAGCCACAGGAATGCCTGAGCTCCTTGTGTGGGCCCTCCAATGGATTGGGAGCCTGTCTGCCTTTTATTCCCTTGTATCCAAAACCAGAGTTACCACCCACTTCATGATCCAGCTGCTCAAGCGAGACTGCTGCCTGACGAAATCGCCAGGGGAGAGACAGGCCCTGGTCGCCATGCTCCTATCAGGCCCCTAACCTGAGATGACAAACTTCAAGATCTCCTACGTTCTCCCTCTCCTTCTGCCTCAGGGGTTGTGCCCAGGGTGGCTCCGTCAGTTCTGCAGCTCAACAAGCATTTAGTTCAGAATGAGATGGCTCGTGTGCCCTTCTTGACATTCAGTTTTCTCTGAACCTCTCTCCCTCTTCCCTTCTTGAAAGGAGAGCTCGCTATCTGTGAAAATGCAGCTCCCCCTCTCACGTCTCTGGGGCATCAGGACTCAGTCAGAGACTGTGCTCCCAGCCCCAGTGGCATGTAGGTGGGACTATGCAACTAGGTCTTTTGTGTGTGTGTGTGAGGAAGATTGGCCCTGAACTAACACCTGTTGCCAGTCTTCCTCTTTTTGCTGCAGAAGACTAGCCCTGAGCTAACATCTGTGCCAGTCTTCTACTTTCTATGGGACGCCACCACAGTGTGGCATGACGAGCGGTGCTAGGTCCGTACCCGGGATCCAAACCTATAAACCCTGGGCAGCCAAAGCAAAGTGCATGAACTTAACCAGTATGCCATGGGGCTGGCTCCTGTGTGACTTGGTCTTACCAAGGGAATGAGAAGGGACGTCATGTGTCACCTCCAGGCCTAGGCTTTTAAGGAGCTGGTGACTTCTTGTTTTCTCTTCCTCATTCTTTCAGTTGGATGCAAAGAACTGTTGCCCTGAGAGATGGTCAAGACACAGCATGCAAGGAACTTGGTTCCTAAATGACTCCACAGAGGAAAGTCACCCTCTGACCAAAAACACACACATAGACTTTATGTGTGCAAGAAAAAAACACTATTGTGTTAAGACTCTTCTGCATTCTGTTAACAGTACCTGGAAGCACCCAACCTGTGACCTAATACGTCTGTGAGAGAAGGCGAAGAGTTCTGAGGGGCTCGCTGGGGCTACAAGGCCAGTTCCACCACCTCTGTGTGGTGTCTAGAGATGCCTGGATGCAAGTGTTGAATATTTTCTTTAACATATGGATCATGAAATGGCTTCCTTTTCCTCAGCTGTGAGCCCTAATCATTATCATCATCACAATTATTATCACCATCCTCACAGCTGAACTTTATGTACCAGAAACTATTCTGATCATTTTCCACGTATTAGCTCACTTAATCCTCACAACAACACCACAAAGAAACCAAAGCATCAGGTTAATGGAATCTGCAGAAGACTGTACAGCAGGAGGGGGCCAGGGTTCAAGCCCACCCATCCTGCTCTCAAGCCTACGTTTTGAACACCTGAAGTCTACAGTCTCCAATTTCAAAGTACTCTCACTGGGTCCAGGACTTTGAGAAAAGCCCTGCTTGGCATCTTCTTCGACGCCCATCTTATGTGGTTATGTGACTCATGTCTCCCCAGACCACAGCAGGGAAGAGACACTCTAAAGACACAGTGCGGAGATGCATTTTCTCCCTTTAATTCAGGAGCCGTGTGCTTCCAAATGGCCATTACACTTCCCTCTGCTGTCCAGTTCCATCTGCTCTGGCCCTAGCTTGAGTCCCTGTGATGAGCGTGATTCTGGCCTCACATCTATACAAACCTCTCCTGCTCCAAATAAGAAAAATGGTCCTCCTCTTCATTATTAAAACTCCTTTTTAGAACACAGAACAGGATGTGTTTACCTTCTTTATATTATACCCTTATACTTCACTACAAACTTGGCACAAGTGCTTGGGAATGGGGAGAAAAGGCTATAGAAGAGGTTGTGTTTGAAGAAAATATCAAGTGGTATTTACTAAATTGTACACTCAAAATTGACCCACTCTTACCCCCTGCCCCTTCCCAAACTTTTATCAGTGTCCCCACATAAAGCGTATATGCCATGACTTTCTATGATGTCTACCCAGTAAACTTCCCAAGGGCAACACACAGCCCCTGTGCACCCTCCATCCTCCCTTCTCCATCTTTATTGTGAGTCTCAGTGACTGAAATCAACCATGAACCCCTTATGTTCAACCATCGCCTCTCTAGGAAATCATTCATCTTCTCAAGGAAATAGAATCCCCAACAGCACCCGCTCCCTTGTTAGTCATCCAAGAAATGAAGAATATTCATTGATCAGTCTGAATTCAAAACAGCTACACAGATAAAGTCCTCACTCGGGAGCTATGGATGGGGTTTTAACTTTGAAGTATAGAAAAAATGCTCTTTCTCTTTGCGTCATTTCATGCTAATCTTCCATGTATCAACATTGCCTTTCTAGATTTTATTTTAATAGTTGCATGAGATTACATTACACAGATAAAAAATAAACTCATGTAACTATTCTTTTATTGATGAGCATTTAGAACTTTTTTGGTGAAACTTCAGTTTATTTTAACTAAGGAAAAAAACTACCACGTTATCTTTAAAAAGACAAATTATTAAAATATAACTAACCTGGCACTCTAGAAAAAAAGTTTCCTCTATGAGGTACTCACTTCTTACAGGATCTCAGAGTATCAGCTGGTGGCTTCCAGACGGTCTGCCGGCGTCTGTGAAACTATGTGTGGTATGTTAAAAGTCACCTGTTTGTTAATAATGAACTTAAGAACAGGAATTTTTCAAATTCTGTTCACTTGAGAGTTCAGGACCCATGAAAAGTCCAATTATTGTGGAAATTGCTTAAGAATCCAAGTATTCCTAGAATTTTCGCAGTGTGCTATGATGTTTGATTATTAACCTTAACTTTGGAAAAGAGGGGATGGTGCAGGTTTTGCACTCTGTTGCTGTTACCACCTGAGAGTACTGACCCTTCTCCCCAAGCCACCGAGGGTTTTACAGTGAATGACTGAGGAGTCTGAATAAACACAGCAGGAGGCTCGGGGGCGCAAAGGGCCTTGGGCCTCAGGCTGGAGTCTGGGGGCCTGAGACCACAGTGGAGAAGTAGAATCAGAACCTCCCATCCATCACATTTTGAGAACAGCGCTCTAGGGATCCAACAGTTATAGCTGGAAAAGCAATGTCGGGGGCAAAATCCCATGTGAGAGATGAGGGTGAAATGGAAGAGCAGGTAATGGGTCAGAATTCCCAAGAATGGGGACTCAGGACAGTGTTAGAGCAGGTGTAAGAATAGATTTCAGGTGGGTGCAGCCACTTCGAAGGACGGTGGCCTGGCGCTCTATTAACAAGTATAATCACAGATCAGTGAAAATCTGTTTGTATAATCATAGCCCGAAGGTGATAGAAAACCAAAAGAATGCTTCCAAATTATCAAAAACGTTTAATCCACTCCTAGGTGCTGTTGTGCGCAAGATACATCCAGATGCTGTAAATGAAATTTTAATATGAACAAAATGTAAACACTAAATATAAAAATAAAAACAGAAGACTATATAGAAGAAAATTTGCACAATTTTGGTCAAGGGAGAGAACTTACAATTGGTAGGAGACTTAGAAAGAAAACACAATACGTTTAACCACATCCAAATTCCATATAGTCTATATATGCTCTGTAGTCCCTAAAAATTACCATACTATTGTTGTCTGAGTTAGATTGGGCTAGACCACAATGACGACAAGTTGACCCTCAAATCTCAGCCATGTAGCCCAGTAAAGGCTTCCTTTTGGCCGCTGTCCCAGCCCGATGCCATGGGGAAGCTCCCTCGCTCTCGTAGCTGCACCACCTGGAGCATCAGATTCCAGGCCTTGCATCAGGGCAGAGGGAGGGGGCCACAGCAGCCTTGGCCTGAAGCTCTCCCTGTCCTTTCTGTCCGCAGCCCACTGGCGAAGTGGTCATCTAGGCAAACGGAACTACAAGAGTGGGGCCTGTGGGAGTGACCATGGCTACTTCTGAACACTGTCCCTGACACGGGAACAGTCAGTCAAAAGGCTTCACTGGGACAGAAAGCCTTCCAACTCGAGAAGCCAACAGTGGATGTGGAACTGTCAGCTGACTCTGTCATTACATGGGAGCTTCAAGATTTGCCCAAGGAGATATGTCTTTTGGAAAATAAGTAGCACTTTCTTCTAGCTTAACATTTTATAAATAGCGTACTCCTCTGTAAAATATGAAATACGATTAAGTTAAAGTAACCTCACTGGGAATAACAGTTGCTTTTAAAGCACCGTGGACTAAGTGTTTAGAACTGCGCACTCACAGCTAAGCAAAGCTCTCCTGTAGAGCAGAACCTTAAAGACGTCGACAGAGAGCAGACGAAATAAGAGTAAGGAAGATGGGCGGGGGCACCCCAGGCCCGGAGGCGTCGTTGGTGTTTCCTGGGCCTGAGCGGTGGGATGCAGGCCGTTCAAAACGAGGAAGGTGGACGCATCCATGGAGCAGTGCCACACAGCAGCCCGAGTGGAAACCCAGGAAAACAGTCACTTTAACTTTTATTGGAAAACATCTGCCTTAGGAACTGTCATCAAGGACTCTCAAGACGAGAACAACTGAGAAGTAAAATTAGGGAGAAGTTTTGTCTAAAATATTTTGTTTGAGATCAGGTGAAAATGAACTGATAAAATAACTTAGCTGCTGGCCTGAAAATGGGAGTAAGCATAGAAACAAATGAGCAAAGAAACGCAGGCACCAGTATTTCAGAACAAGGCCAGGGACTGGTGATTTAAACACCATCAGGACGCCAGAGGCCTCCCCAGGAGAAGCCCCACACTCCTGGACTGCTCCCTGCGTGTTGTTGCTCAGTCCTGAGTCCGCTTACCAAGCAGTACTCCTGACTTCTACAGGCACGCCAGAATTTATGCATCCAGATAAACGTGTTTCACTTACAGCAGTCACCTTTAGAGGCTGTGGGCTAATTCGATTGATGTTATCATTGTCTGAATATTTTCAGAAACTCCTCTTTTGGAATTACCTTCAAAGCCAGCATCACGTTCTTTTGAATGGTGACACAGCAAAGCCCTGAAAGGAAGAATCTGATTTGAAGCCACTAAACGTCATTTGAATAAGGCAAATTATCAACCTGGTTAACATCACTTTAAATTTTAAAAAGTATATGAGGCACTTGTACATATCTATATAAATAGATATATAGATATTTATGAATTTAATAGTGAATGTAATTCTCCTTCACCCTACATACATTTCTGAAAGATACTTTGCTAAAATGTTCTGAGCATAGACAGCTGGCATTAACGTTATTAGTCAGCATCATTGAACAGGAGCCTCTGTGAGGTCTACTACATTCTCCCAAGCAATTCACACTCCCAGCGGCTGTGCAAAGGGCCTGCTTCACTACTGTGGGTGATGGGTGAAAAATTTGATCTAATTTTTGTATACTCTGCATTTCCCTGATTCACTAGTGTGGAAGAAAATTTTTTGTCCATTTTCTTTTTTTATTTATAACTTGCATTTTTGGGTAGCCATTTGTGTATTAGGAATAGTGACATTGTCTTCTGATGATATTCTAATTGCACGTATTTTTGCAAATAGTTGTTCTGCATAAGATATGTACTAAAAACATGTATTTACATATGCATACATGCACACATACACATGCACACACACAAATGTGCTCAAGAGAGAGAGATTAAATATACGGTCTTCTTTCTGAATTTCCTACGTTAAGTTTTCTCCCTGGACCAAAATTTTACAAATATTCTTCTATGTTTACTTTTATTTTTACATTTAGTTTTATATTTTGTTCATGTCAAAATTTCCTTTAAAGATGGGTTCAAGGAGGAAAAGCTCTATAGGTCAATCACCCTTCTAAGTTCCAGCAGTTTCCGCCACATCATTAGGTCACCGCCTTCTCACAGGCCGTTCCTTCCTAATCAAAATATAGCTCCTAAGTGTTTCCATCAATATGTTTGGGAATAATAAGCCACTTTTCTTTTATAAGAGTCTCTAGAAAGTTTTCTTGACTTTCCCGCAATTAATTAAAATTAACTTAATTCAGCAAGCGCTACTGCCCATTGTCCACCGTGTGTCGAGTATGGGGACATCACCTGAGACACAATCAGGTGTGTCAGGTGGCGACTTCCCACAGGCACTTCCACACTTGATGGGACGTCACTCCTGAAACCAGAACTGCACGGAGTGTAAGAGTGGAGATTTATATTCAGGGCTAATTTCAGACACTAATCATCATTTAAAATGTGGAGGTGGGAAGGGAAACAGCAAAGAGTGTCTCATATGGGGGTTGACTGTTTTGTCCTCTTGTAGGGGGAGGAAAAAAAGCAAAATAAAATCTCATTTTCACTTCCTTATTTTTTTTTTTTTCAGTTTATATGTGGTTTAGGGGAAGGAAGTGTTCAGGGGAGAAAACAGTTTCCTAAAGTTTTTAGAACCACTTAGGGGATTGCATTTTTCTTTTGCTAAAACAACTGCAAAGGGATATTTATACAAAGAGTTAGGTCAAACCTAACAACTCGAGAGTTTATTTTTAGATTTCTGCTTGGCCAAGGGGAAAATATGGTAAATGAACCTTATGTTCTTAAATGGGCATGCAGCTGAACTCAAAACATGTCAGCAATCCGACAGAAGCACTGACGAACGTGGGCCTTCCAAGCACGATTAGAAATCTCCAATGACAATATTACAACCATTTCTTTTCTTCCTTTTTTTTAAACTTACTTTCAGTTTTCGTACTCAAGATCTCTACAGGTTTGAAGATGGCCAAAACAAAAATAATAAAGATTATGTCAACAGGGAGCCATAAACAGAAAGTCCAGTAACTTCTGCTGAGCGTGTGGCAGAGAGCCGCTCACCAGCGTGGAGGCCACAGCCACCTGTGGCTATGGAGCACTGGAGAGGACACTGCTCCTAACTGAGACAGGCAGAAAGTTGAACACACACCGACTTCAAAGACGAAGTATGAAATAAAGTATATAAAATATCTCATTCAAGCTTTTATATTGATTGCATATTGAAATGCTAACATTTTAGACATAATTGGTTAGATAAAATATATGGTTAAAATTCAATGCAGAGTTTCTTTCTCCTTTTTAAAATGAGACTACAAGAAAATTTAAAATTGCATATGTGACTCACAAAATCTTCCTACTGTACAGCCCTGTAGCAGAGCAGCGGAGTTCAGAGTTGGGCTCCAAAGTAGACCCACCGGCATTGAAACCAGACACTGACGCGCCAGCGTGTGACCCTGGGCAAGGTATGTGGGCATGTGTGAGTGAAGTTTCCTTCTAAGTAACTGGTGAGCGATAAAATAGTCCCCATCCCACAGGCTGGCCAGGGCTCAGTGTGCAGAGCCTGGTGCAAAGCAGCTCACTGAGGGCCGTTCTGCTATTCCTACCTCAGAATCCAGAAGAGCAAGAGGTGTTTTTCTGCCTGAAGAAGCTCTCAAAAAGAATGGAGAAAATAAAATCAGGAGTTTACAAAGGTGATGCTTCCCTTCCCCCCTTTCCCCACCCTATGCAGCCGATTGATGTGTTGAGATGAGATCAAACCATCCTTACAAACTGGAGTGTTCTCAAGACAAACAGATTCCCTAGTAGGTGTGCTCTACCCTCCGTAGCCCGGCCCAGTCCTCTGGGGAGGCTGGCACAGTCGGACAAGACTGTGCAGGCTTCCTTCGCACGGGGACATCCCACAGAGAGCAAGTGGGTGTGCCATGTGGATCTGACTTAAAAAAAAATTAAGAGCATGTATCTGATGCCCCTGAAACCACAGAACTCAGCCTGCAATAGTGCTCGCAGTTACTTCTGTTTTTCTAGGCGTTCACATCACCCGAGGGCTTCGTATGTTTTATCTCATTAAATTTACCAGCAGTTCATTGAAGTAAGTCTTATGATTCTCTCCATTTCATGGTGAAATAATATCTCAGAAAGGTTAAATAATCGCCCAAAGTCCCACAGTCAGTGGCAGGCAAGGACGGATTCTGACCTAGGTGTACCCAGGGGGTCTTGATATGTCTCAGACGGCTGTCAACAGGTCTGCTGGCACAGATCACAGCCCTGTGGAGAGAAAGGAATGCTCTCACTTGATTGCAAGGACATCACTTTAGTGAAAAAGAAATAGTTATCCGGGTCCTCATGTTGTTTCTGCTTGTGCATGACTTCAGAAATTATCTTCATAATTTCTTGTAGTTCTCTCAGCGTGATGTTTTTGAGGTAAACGGAAGTGCACATTTCATTTGTCTCTGCTGTCACACCACATAGCACAACACTGAGCACATAGTTAGTACCTATTTAATGATTGTTGAATGAATAAGTGTGTGAGCATCAGTGCCGCCGGCCTTTCTCAACCAAGGCTTGTCATCTGAACCACAGAGCACAGAAATGTTTTGAGTGATTATTTACTCAGTTCTCCCAAGTATGAAAACAGCAAATACCATTCTCAACCCGCAGGAGAGAAGCTGATTCATGCCATACAACGGACACTTTGGGACACGAGGGCTTACTTCCCTCTTGGAATCCCATAGGGAACCAGACTAGGATTAATCTGTAGTCTTTGAGGAACACCTTGACTGTAGTTGGAGGTGACAAGCTACAGCCTGGGACAGATATGACTCACAGCCTGTTTAAAAACGGGCTCGAAGGCTCTTAAGACTCTAAGCTACAAGAGCTTTTACATTTTTAAGGATTTAAAGAAAAAAAAACAAAGAAGAATATGCAACAGATGATATAGCTTCCAATGTCTAAAATATTTATTATCCAATTCTTTGCAGGAGAATTTTGACCTCTGCTTTAGGTTAAAGTGGCTATATATCCAAGTGGAACAAGGTTAACTTACCCGATAACATTTAGGAAACCCCCTACAATCCGTGGTCCCCAAACTCTTCCTTACCATTCTATCTTCAGATATAAAATTCTTATCTTTTTTCATTTGTATGTGAGCACCAAAACAACAGCCTCGCCACCTCCATCTCCTACCAAAGGCCCCCGTAAAAATGCACGTGGCCTCCAGTAACAACTTAGAGTGACATGAATTCCAATCTCAGCTCTTATTAGGTGAGAAAGTCGAGTATGTCACAGCTAATTTCCTCATTCACCTGTCATAGGTACGAAAGATCCCTATCAATAGTACTTCTCAGTATGCAGCATGTGTGTTGGTTACCTACTGCTGTGTAACAAACAATCCCCAAATGTAGTAGTTTAAAAGCAACAACAACAACATTTGTTTTCTCACAATTTTGTGGCTCAGGAAGCCAGGCTGGCTTAGCTGAGTTCCCCAGGTCAGAGTCTCCCACAGTATATAATCGAGGTGTCAGTTGAAGCTACAGCTCAACCAGGATAAGATGTGAGTCCAAGCTCACTCACTAGTTGTTGGCAGGATTCAGGTCCTGGGCAAGCTCTGGTTAGCGGCTACCATCAGTTCCCTGCCACGGGGCCCTTCCACAGGGCAGCTCACAGTATGGCAGCTGTTTAATCAAATTGAACAAGGAAATTCAGAGAGCAAGAGAATGCCAGCAAAACAGAAGTCAGAGTCTCCTGTAAGCTAATTTCAGAAGTGATATCCCATCGCCTTTGCTGGGTTCTATCCTTTACGTTCAAGTCACTAAGTCCAGCCCACACTCAAGGACGAGAGATTCCACAAGAGCATGAACCTCAGGAGGTGGGGATCCCTGGGGCCATCTTAGAAGGCTGCCTGCTACACCGGGATTGCCATGGGGCAGAATCAGATTGGCACATAGGACCAGAAAAAAGTCAAACCTGGGGAGCACACCATCCCTCTAGGAGGATATGTGTGGAGCATCACAGCTCTGGAACAAAACAGAAGTGAACACACTCCCTTGTTCTGTGATCTACAGACTGTGTAGGCTTGGACACATTCCCGTATGTCTCTGAGCCTCTGTTTCTTCAGCTGTAACATGGAGATAGTGATGTCTCCATGCAAAGCAGATGGAAAGACTAATTAGATCACAGACAGAGAAAGTAGCCAGCACAGTACGTGGCACATGGTGTGTGGTCAAGAATAGTAGTCACATTATTTTCCTTCTTATTTACGTGCCAGTCCATCGAACCAGCAGTAGACACTGTTCGAATCACAAAGATCTGTACAAAGAGAAGAACGTCAGGAATGACGCTTCAGAGAAAACAGCACTGCAGTGAAAATAAGCTCTCCCATGAGTTGAGCACGTTGCACACAACAGGTGTTTTCACACGCTTCGCTCTACTTGATCCTCACCAGCCCCGGGGGGCAGTTGCAGTTTATCTAGACTCATATTTGTAAAATGGGAAAACTGAGAAGCTAAATGACTTCCCCAGGATTGCACAATAATCAGCTTATCAGCAAAGGATCTCGAAGGATGGGGAAGGGATCAGGTGTCCAGTGGTGTCAGGACCAACAACATGCTGGAACCAGAAGTACTGGTGAGGCCAGGGCCTCGCTGTCGGGAATCCAGAGGGTCCCATACTCCAAAGGATGGGGCAAACTGTGAGTCAGCAGCCAGGAAACAAGGGCAGTCATGGTTTGCCTAGACCAGAGCTCAGAGCAAATATGGAACAGAAAAGCCTGCAGTCGGGAAATAACCACATCGCAAACGTGGATGAGCAAGGTGGGGGAAGGCCGGGGTGAGGGGTCAGGGCCTAAACAAAGACAACTCAGGGGCCTTCCAGCAGAGGGAACATTCAAGTGGAGCTTTGAAAGCCCAGCGCAGTTAGGAGGGAGCTGGGAGGGGGCTCTCGCTCAATGAGGGCATAGTGCGTGCAGGGGGCTCATAGGATGAGTGGTCTGGAGAGGTCGCAACTCTGAACCTCAAGGAGCTGAGAAGTCAGAATTCTCTCCTGATGGTGACAGACTAATTTTAGGTTGAGGGATGACATGACCAGATTTGTATTTTAGAAAATCACTTGGAGTCAGAGAAAAGGATGGAACAATGGGGGAAAGATTTCAAACAAAATAACTGATTCCCAGAGAAGTTTCTGAGAAAAGACTGTACCTAATCCAAACAATCTAATTTTATGCACATTTTTTCACCGTCTGCTTTACACCTGGCTCCCTTTTTAGCCCACTGTGAGTGACTCCCCTTAGACACGTCTATTTCACACTGGAAACTACTTTAACGGGTCCCCAGGACTACATTCAGAGGGACTGAGAGTCACTTCCCTCACTCAGGACCTTCCTAGAGACACACTGCTCGGGGATTTGATGGCCACTGCAATTTTTTTGTCATTTATAGTTGAGTTTATATTCTATTTCAGAAATGATAACTGAAAAGTCGTTTGTTTTTATGGAAATAATGAACCATATAAGAACTTTTTACCATCCGTTAACAGCATCTGCCACTCTGCTTGGCAGTGCACAACAATAAATATCTTTCTTGCTTTATGGAAATGACAAAATTTAAATATGACTTCATTTTAAAATGCATTGGGAAGGGAACGTGATACACATCATGCATACCACACGCACAGTGAAGCACACCACGGTTGCACCTGACCCTTCTTACACAGCCTCTCGGCCTTCTTTAGTAGAAAGAAAGAAGAGGTATGAAAATGACCAAGTGACACGTGACAGGCAGCTGACACTCACAGAGTCGAACACGTCATTCCATGGCGTTCGCGGGATGGTCGTGTGTGCAGATGGAGAAGTGGTGGCACAGTGTTTAGAAAATAAAAACACTACCCTGGACCCACAGTTCATGCCACAGGTGAGCCTTAATTTTTGTTTTTCCCCAGTTATAGTCTTAATTTCCAGAACTACCGAATGTTGAGGGTTGATGCTGTGTGGTAAACATTAGTGCTGTTCACCAAAACCTTCTGACTCTCTTCCCAGCGCATGGTGGAGCAGCGCGTCCCTGTCCTCTCGGAGATAAAAGCGCCCAGGTGACCCACCGCAGGCAGTGAACTGCAAAACAACGACATGTGTCGTGCTAGCAGAGACCTTGCAAGGAAGTGGCTCTCACCCCTCGGGCTTGGCAACTGGACACGTCAGTGGCTGCTCCATCAGTCTGGGTCCTGAGCGACTACCAGGCCCATCGTGGACTTTGTGGACACGTAGAATAAGAAGAGATGAATGTGCATGTTTATTGCAGCAAAATTAACCAATCTTGCATCACACCAAAACTGGTACCTACACGTGGGGAGCCACCACCGCAGGTAAGCGTCCAGCACAGGCAGTGGCTGAGGGCTGGCAGTGGACGGTGAGTGAACCACCGCTGGAGACGAGAACAATGTAATATGCATGTTTTACCAAAACGTTTGGTAAAATTGTTGCCTGTGATAACCCAGAAGGCAAAAATGTGGCTCTAGAGAAAAAGATGAAAAAGCAGTGTTAACGGCATGCATTGATCACCAACTGCTGTATTTTACAAGGCACCACAGAAAGAGGTGACTCAGAAACAAACAAGTGGTTTGCAAACATCAACAAGAGAAAATAGGAAGTGTCCAGAAATTTGGGAAACTTCAGGGTTGGAAGAGGCAACCTCCCTTCTCGAACATATCAAAGGGAAGGGCTGGGATGCACGAGGGCCGACTCGGGACAAGGGTCACACGAAGGATGTTATGGGATCCACTGTGTCCCTTCAAAATTCCTATGTTGAAGTCCCAACCCCAGTGCCTCAGAACGTGACCCTAATTTGAGACAGAGCCTTTAAAGAGGTGATTAGGGTAAATTAAGGTGGGGCCCTAATCCCATAAAACCGATGTCCTTATAAGGAGCAAGAGAGGCCTGAGGTATGCCCACACACAAGGAAGGACCAGGTGAGGACACAGCAAGAAGGCTGCCACCTGTGAGCCAAGGAGAGAGGCTCAGGAGAAACCAACCCTGCGACACCTTGACCTTAGACGTGCAGCCTCCAGCGTCGCCAGGAAATAAAGCTCCGCTGTTTACAGTGCCCCGTCCGAGGTTCGGTGTTACGGCCGCTGAGCAGACTAACACAAAGGGAATGGCCGTCACCTTGCTGAAGGAGATAAGGCGTTCCAGCAAAAGCCAGTGTTTTCACCTGGACCAGCTGTCACAGCACTCAAAGTTCTCAAAATTAAGAGAAAGAGGGGCTGCTGGTGGTGGAGCA